GCGTGTCACCCTGGAGCCCGAGAGAGTGCGGCGTGTCACCCTGGAGCCCGAGAGGGCACAGAGTGTCACTGGGGCAGGAAGGCCCCTGGATGTGCCAGAGCAGAGGCTGGCTGTGCCTCACAAGCAGAGCCTCCAGCCAAGAAACAGAGGACTGAGGCAGCCTCCACTGCCTCCCTGGGAGCCAGCTCAGGTTTGTCAGGTGTGTGTGGGATCTGTGCACTGCTGAGGATGACAGCTGTTCTGCCGGGCTGGAAGCAGTGGTTATTGACACTGACGTTGAAATGTCTCTGATTGAATTAAACCTCCAGTACTGTTCAACAGATCCAGCTTTGCTCTGCGCCCTGTTCATCCGGCAGCTCTGCTGTTTCATGAGCCCTGTGATTTTCTACTGCTTTCTCAGTCCCCTGAAAAGCTGTCAGGAGCTGCCGTCTGAGCATGAGCGCCCCTGTCACGCAGGTCCAGTGCTCACAACCCTCAGCCCTAAATTTCAGTCCTGTCCATGAGTACCGAGCCCAGCCCTGCAGCTCTGCCTGCTTTGATTTGGGCTTGGAGCTGTGCTGGTGTCGTGTGCCAGCATCTCTGGCTCCAGACTGCTCCTTTTTTTAAGGCGGGGCTCTGGGCTGTGACATTGTTACTGGGATTGTGTATCAGAGCAGCGCCCTCTTCCGGACGTCTGAGCTCACAGAAGTGTGTGTGTGTCTGTGCCTCTGCAGGCCCCGTCTCCCATGAGCAGCAGCTGTCCGAGAGTCTGGACAGGGCCTTGACCTCTGCCCTCAGAGGCTTCCCATCATTCACTGGGCAGAGAGGAGCTGGCGGGACAGCGCGAGAGGCCCCAGGGGCTCTCCCAGGTAGGACTGGGCCCAGCCAGGCGTTTTGGGCAGTAGCAAGGCAGGTCACTCCCTGAGCTCTCCAGACGGGGCGCTGTCCTGAGCTCAGTGGGGTGTGGTGCAGTAGCTGACAGTCGAGTATCCAGAAGTACTCTTGGGCAGAAGCCTGGGGAAAGGTGTTCCCAAGGTATGAATGTGAGGGGAAGCAGCTTTCCTAGAGCAATCACAATTCTCACAATTCTCAAGTTCTGAAAGACAATCAGTACGGATCCAGTGCACAGCACTTGTTTGCTTTATTGGCACTTAAACACAGCCAATCAGTCACTACTTTGGACTGCTTAGCCTGCAGAGACCAATGCTGATTGGCTCACCTGCATGTCACTTTCACACTTGCCCCGCCTCCCACTGTGGGGTCACATGCTCCGTCTTGATTATTTTGCGTAGAACTACACATCTAATCTTCTGTAATGTGTTTTAAAACGACTAGCCAGTCCTGTAGGTAATTTAGATGATCTTTCACTGACATTAACATCTTTCAAAAGTAGCTCAGAACACAGGAACAGTAACAAATGAGGACCGGCTCACCCGTTTGATAGTTAGCAGTTAACTGATCTCAAGAGATAATTCAGGATTTTTCTGGAGAGAATTGACCTCTGGAGGGTATTGTCTTCTGCTCCTCGTGGGCCTGGTAGGGGCGTCCTTCCTGTCTGAGAGTGTCCAGGGACTGCTGACCTGTCGTGCTCGTGCTCGTGCTCAGCCCCAGGCGTGGGGAGTCCAAGGCTGTGGCCTTTGGCCCTGCAACACGGACAATGGGAGCCGGGCCAGCTGGCGCACAGCCGAGCGCCGACCTGCACAAAGACATCATCAAGCGCTTGTTTGGAGCTCGGCCCCTCTTTTCATCTGCAACAAAGCCGCTGGCGGAAAAGAGAGAACGAGTTCTCCGCAGGCTCAAGGTCAGCGCTCGGAGGCAGAGCTCTGCTTGAGGGGGTGCGCTGTGAGGCAGTAATGGAAAAACTGAGAGAGTATTGTGAAAGACGTTTTGTTCTGACTTCAAGGTGGAAGAAAATAAGTAGAAGTTGTTTGTTGCATTTTGTATGTGCAGGAGAGGTCCTTTGTGAGGCTAGAGGTTTTAGTCTGTGTTTTAATGTAACTTTATAATCTGCGACTTCTGTTACTGGACTGAAACCCGCTTCCGAGGGCTAACCTTCGAGGATTTGGGTTTGGGATTGGTTCGGGATTCCAGTCTGTATTCAACCCTGCCCTGCTCTTCCCTGTGCTAGCAGGAGACTTCCTTCTGTCCCAAGCGGACGTGCAGAGATAAACGTGCACGTGACCCCCCTGTGCACGGGGACCCCACTGCGCACTGGCAGAGAACAGAGTCGGGTCTGCAGGGTTTTGAGGGAGTACAGTTCATTGTCTGTATCAGCAGTCGGGACCCGTGTGCCATAATCAAGCGGCTCCAGAAGTGACACTTGCAGAATGAGGTACAGCCCCCACTCACAGTGGGAATGGCGTGAGTGAGCACTCTGCTGACACAGAGAGAGTGGAGAGTAGTAAGAGACGAGCAGTTTTAGCACTGGACAGCAGTGCTAAAACACCACAGATCAGAGCCAACCACACCTCAGCACAAGCCAGACAACACTACCTTACCCATTAAAACATTCACAAACACAACACACACGGGAATGCTACAGGACCCTAAACCGATAAAACATACTATCAGACTAACACAGTGTCACACAGCAAAGAGAAACAGACCCTGACAAAGTGACCACAGCCTGGCCATAGAAACTGGGCGACACAGGCAGACCTGGCTGCCCAGAGAGGACAGGCTGTGCTCCCACTGTAGAGACAGAGGTGCACTTCCTACTGCACTGTGACAGGTACTCTGGGATTAGACAAACAGTCTTCCACAAAATAACAAATCTAATTCTAGAGTTCCCTCACCTTCCGATATCGAAATTCAACTGAGCTGCAGCTCAGTGTGTGATCTCCTGTAACAGCCTGAGGAACAGACAGGGAGCCTCTCTAGTAATATTTTTTATTGTAAATGCCTGATAATGTTTTTACTAATTGTTATTACTTTGGCAATAGTTCATGTGGCAATGTAGTTCATCCCTCATGTCAATGAAGCTCTTGAAATTTGAGTAGAGAGCGAGTGGCGGAAGAATATAGAGCAGTGAGGGAATACAGAGAGTGGTGAAGAAGTGGAGGGAGAGTAGCAGGGGAGTAGAGAAAGAGTAGTGAGGGAGTAGTGAAGAATGAGAAGCGACGAGTAGTGAAAGAGCAGAGATTGAGTAGCAAGCACATAACAATGGAGTAGAGAGGTAGTAACGAGGGAGTAGAGAATAGAGTGAGTAGTGAGTGAGTAGAGAGAGTAGTGAGGGAGTAGGAGCCGTGCAGTGACCTGTTTCTCCCTGCAGGTCAGAGTGGTGCCTCTGGGAGCTGCTGCTCGTGCTCCTGCAGTCTGTCTGCGTACTGCGGCTCGCCTGCTGCCTTCCAGCTGCCCTGCGCACACCTGCTCTGCCGCGCCTGCCTGGCACAGACGCCCTCGCACCCGGCCCCGCGCTGCCCTCGCTGCGGAGCCCCGGCCCCCAGGAAGGACATCACTCGTGTGCACTACTGATCAGAGGGCAGGACGTCATCAGGGGCCACCTGGGGCCCAAGCACCCGCGCCCACTCTGGTGGAATTCCCCTCCTCTCTCTCAGGCACACAGGAGGGGCTACGGGAAAGCCCTTCAGCCCCTCTGAATCTGTCACGCCAGCTTCTGCTCAATCCCAGAATCCTTCCAGCCACTTCCTGAGGATCCCATGAGCTTTCTCTTCGGGAACCTCTGGTCAGTTTGCCCAGAACCTCCTGAGCCTACTTGAAAGTTGCGTCAGAGCAGTATATATTTTTGTACTGTAAATGAGGAGACTGCTTTTTCTGTTGTTAGAAGTCTGTTGACCAAAGACTCCAATAAAATAATTTTCTTAAAAGATGTCAATAAACTTCCAGTGGGTGCTGCCCCGTTCCACACAGCGCCAGTGTGAGTGTGATCCTTCACTTCTGGGCAGGGAGACAGCAGAAGCCGGTGTAAACACATCCTGAACAGGCAAACTGATGTCCCTCCACACCCTGACTCCATTGTGAAGGCTCTTCACGGTTTCCCAGATCTCGCTTGGACTCTCACATGGATCAGCGCTCCGGCAGCGGACGCAGAACTCCGCACGCCTCTGCTTCCTGGTTTTTAAATTGCCACCTGACCAGTGATCTTCCTCTTACTGGTCTGATGGTGAAGGGCAGGAGATTATTCCCCACAGCCTTCTGGGAAATGTGGTTGAGGCAAGGATCTCCATCTGGCCTCCTCCTACCACTCTGCCAAAAAACATAAAGAGAGGAGAGGGACCTGAATCACAGAAGAGCTGTG